GGTCACTGGGAAGCAGCGTTGCGGCTGTCACTGATCGGAGGTGGGTCACCGCCAACAGAGAGGCCACCCACCGGATGTCCCGCACTGCCTCCATGACGTTGATCTCACACATGAGCTTCTTTGTGATCCAGTCAAGGGCAGCCACGTGACCCCGACGCCCTCCAAAAGCCAGGTGTCTGTTGTAGGTGGAGGACAAGCAGGGTATTAATGCAGGGAAGCACCGACTCAGACACTCTGGGGTCTACCCTTGGGGTGAAAAGAGAGACGATGCCGTAAATGCTCACTCCCCTAGTCATACAAGACCCAGGGCCCTGTCCTCATCAACAACCCAAACACACTGGGTAGGACGTAGATGGGTGTGGCTTAGGAGGTTAAAGGAACAACCGCATTTTAGTTCGAGAAATGGACTCAAGTGGAATTCGACCTCACCTTCCAGTTCGAGAATAGTGCAGTCTATAGGGTCCAAACTGCCGCAGATTCAGGTCAAAGTGCTGAGAAAGGGGAGAATGAACAATAAAAAAGGAAAAAGAATGGGTTCGGCTCATGATCGCCTCTCCTGGTCCCCATTTCTCTTGCCTTGCACCCCTACTCAGCGCAGCGGCCCCTCCGGCCCAGGCTCACCTTGGCAGCACTCGCAATGTCCACAGCCTCCACAATGTCGGCCTGACGGATCTTTGCTGTGTCCTCCCCATCATCTCCTTCCAGAAACCTGAAAGTGAGGGTTAGGATTGCAATCCAGCCACCCAGTTTCCCATGAAACTGAGAAACAAGAGTCTGTAAAGCAAGGGACGGGGAGGCTCAAGATGAGGGTCCACTCACCCAGGTTCCTCAGCAAGCAACAGCTCAGAACGAGCATTTCTGACACTTGTTTCCTCTTCTTGGTCTTCAGCCACCTCAAGTCTGCTTTGGGTTTTGGACTTAGAATGGGGTAGCTAAAACATGGTTGATGAGGGAGCAGTGGGAGAACCAGAGGTTATGGAGGGTGTTGGGAAGCCACCTGGCCCAGTCTCCACCCAGACACCCCTTACTCCCACCCTCCAGCTGCAGAATCCTCACCTTTTTGGATTTGTCAATGCGACGGAACTTCTGCACTAACTCCACAGGGACGGGGGCGGGGCCTGGGAAAGGGTCCTGGGCCTGGGCCCGAAAGACGCAATTAGCAGATCGTTTTTTTGGGGTTGACCATCAACCCTCCCACTATCAAAGCACAGGCGACCTGCCCCGCCACCAGTCAGGTTCCGGTCTCACCCCAGACACGCTCTTCTGGGACTCAGCATTCTTCCGCTGTCGGGATTTCTTCGAGACCTGGGGCTTCTTGGAGACCCGAGACTTCTTTTGGACCTGAGTGTTCTTTGGCCTCTGCGGGCGGAGCTCGCGATTCCTCTTGTTAGGAGGAGGACCTGGAGAGGCTCCCGGGGCGCTCGCGGCGGTCTCTTCCTCCCAGTATCGCCGGGGTTTCTACCGGTGGATAGAGACCTGACACTCCGCAGCCTGCGCGCCGCCTCCCGCCCCCTCCCCGACCAGCCAGGCCTCCACCTTCCTCTTGACTTGAAGTTTGTTCTTCTTGGGCGGGACACCCCTGGCCGGCTTGGGGACCGTCTCCATCCCGCCAATCCGAACAACAACCCACGTGCGAAACCCAGCTGTCCCACCGTCGGCTTGCAAGCCCCCGGAAGTCCTCAGACCTTCCTCCAATCAGCGCGGTACCAGATGTGAAGCCTGCTGGGCGCCATCTTGAGTGAGGGCACGCTCCCCATGGAGGGGCGGGCCAGGCCTTGGCATCGCCCCCCCGGGCGCTAGCACCGGTTTATGCCCGAGTAAAGGAGAAAGCACGAGGCTGGGGCCAGGGCCCAGGTGACGCTGCAGTTTCCTCTTCCGGACTAGCTTTCCATCTTGCCTAAAACCGCGAGCCCAGTCTACAGCTCAACTGAAGCGCAATGAACCAAGGCCGAACTACACTTCCCGGCGTAGGAAGGCGGCTTCCCGCGCCGTCTGTTCCCAGCATTCCTTGTTTACTTCCGGGTTCACGAATACTGCAGGGACAACGTGAGGTGGGCAGGTTTCAGTTGGGAGGGCTGGGATCTCTTTTTGCCCCTCTTCGGCCGGGGCAGGGTAGCGTCGACATCGGGGACGAGAAGAGGCCGCGGTGCTCCGAGGACCTGCCCCTGCAGAGTGTTACCCGCAGGCTGAGCCGGAGAGGGGGTCCGTCACCTCCCGAGAGTGAGACCCAGGGCCCCCGTCTCGCCCCCGGGTGGCTTTCATCCCCGCCATGGCCGAGCTGATCCAGAAGAAGCTGCAGGGAGAAGTGGAAAAATATCAACAGCTCCAGAAGGGTAAGGGGGTGGGGTCGGGGTGGGCTCTCCCCAGGCCACGCACAGTCCAAAGCCACACCTAGCTGGGTCTCCTGCTCCCCGGGCCCCTTCCCTGCCCGCTGCCCCGCTGCCCCGCTGCCCCGCTCCCCGCTGCCCCAGCCGTTTCCTACCGCTGCGGTTGCGGGGGTCGGTGGCACACTCGATGTTCCTAATCGTGTCTTTTCTCCCACCCCCAGACTTGAGTAAATCCATGTCAGGGAGGCAAAAGCTTGAAGCACAACTAACCGAAAATAATATCGTGAAGGAGGTGAGGGACTGGCATTTGGGGGGCGAGGAGGAGCTGTCCTGGCTGTGGTCATCATCACGGTGCCTCACTCCTCCCTCAGGAACTGGCCCTACTCGATGGGTCCAACGTGGTCTTTAAACTTCTGGGTCCGGTGCTGGTTAAACAGGAGCTGGGAGAGGCCCGGGCCACGGTGGGCAAGCGGCTGGACTATATCACCGCTGAAATGTGAGTGTGCCCCACCACCCTGCGCTGCACCCGGGACGTCCGAGAGGCACTGGGGAACCGCCGGGGAGTCGCTCACCACAATAGCCCCCAGCCAGTTCCTCCAACGCCTTCCTTCCCTTCTAACCCCCTTTCCCTTCCCTAGATCTCACGTCCCCTACCAGTTTCCTTTTGCCTTCAGCAGCCTCCATAGTAAGTCCCACCCTTTTCTCCTTTCTCTCCCTTGCCACTCCCACTCTGCAGAAAGCGATACGAATCCCAGCTCCGGGACCTGGAGCGCCAGTCAGAGCAACAGAGGGAGACACTTGCTCAGCTGCAGCAGGAGTTCCAGAGGGCTCAGGCAGCAAAGGCAGGCACTTCTGGGAAGGCCTGACCTTGTAGTTTGGGGGTGGGGGTGGGGCGGTGCTAGGGTCTATACTGTAGTTAATAAAATGTAGAAACACTCGCATGTTTTCTGACCAGCCACTTAGCATAATCATCTCCATCCATTCTCCAGCCCCTTCCACATACACCACCTACCTCTTCTCAGGTTCGCATTGTTGCAACTGCAACTCGCTAGCAGGGTGATCCTTTTTTCTTGAAACGAAAATCGGCAGTGTGTGTCAGACCTGCCTGCATATACAGCCCTTTGCTTTCCCTTATCTTGGTTGGTACAACCTTTCAGAAACACCAGAACGTTTTACAATATATTGGTAATGTCTAATTGAAAAACTGACGGCATGGGACCAGCAGATGGCCTAACAGTTACATCACTGACTCCCACATGGCCAAATGTGGTTCAAGTCCCAGACCTGGTGGCTTGAAACTAAGGCCAGGCGTGTGTATACGTGCCCCAAATCCCAAGAGAACAGAAAAGGGATTGCTGTGTGGCCATGGGATGGGGGTGGGGGGGTGACTTCTCAATTTCTTTCTGATGAGCTCACATGCCCTATCACCAAAAAAACTCTTAAATAAGTGATAGTTCTGAGACCCCAGGGTAAATTGTGGTCACCGTCCTTGCTATGAATGCTTGTCATTCTCCAAATAGCCCTGGCATTTTTTCATTCTTTTTACCCTCTTTCCTCCTAGAATCTGAAGGTAGCTTAAACTGATTTAATGCTTTATAGGGTTGTGAGTACAGGTTTATCTATGTCTTGTTGCACAGTTGTTCTTCCATTTCTTTGTCGCAAAATGTTTTTTTTCTTTTACAAATTTGCAGCCAGGAGAGTCCTTCACATTGATTAATTTGGTGGCTACTACTTGATACAGGTCTGTGAAAACAGAGGAAAGTAAGAGTAAAGAAAATGGGAGGGGCGGGGCTGGCAGGTGGTGCAGTGGTTAAAGATGCTTAATTCCCACATGGCTGACTTCAGTTCAAGTCCTGGACCTGGCAACTTGCTTTCTCACTTTCCCTTTCTCTCACTCTGTCCCTCTGGTCAAATTAAAATAAATAAAATAAAGTTCAATAAAATAACTCTTAAAAAAAAAGTAAAGAAAACGGGGACGGTGTCCAGCAGGTGGCATGATGAAGGTGATGGACCTCCACGTAACTGACTGCTGTTCAAGTCCCGGACCTGGCAGCTTGAAAATTGCTGGGTGTATGACTGAAATCCCAAAAGGACTGTGACATGGCCATCTCCTGTGGGGGTGATTCCTCACTTTCCCTCTCTACAGAATGCACGTGCCCGATGGCAAAAATCTTTTTTAAAAAATAAAGAAGCCAAGGGTGGAGTCACCTGGAGAGGAGTAAACTCTTCTCACCATACCTGGCTTTCAGCTCTTCATGAGGGTAGAAAGCAGGCCCCTTCTTGGTCTATGGCACCTGCCTTCAGTCAGCACCCCCACCCCCACCCCAGCAGCCAGTTCATGTGCACGGGAAGGGGGTAGAACTCAGGTAGTGTTTTGGTTTATTATCTTAGTGTTGTCACAGTGACAGGAACCCCCAGGGTGGGGAAACAACTCATTAGAACCTTCTTGCCATCACCCACTGCCCTAGGGCTCAGCGCCTTTAGGCCTTTTCTGCTCCCCCCACTTCTTGGTTCTCCTTGGCCTGCATGCTAGGATGCGGCCAGGAGCAGGAAACCAGTGGCCAACGCCTTTCCCAGCGCCAGCTCCTGTGTGCCACACTCGTGGTGGGTAGGGAGCTGCACACAGGTATCCAAGGTGGCTTTCTCAGTTGTCGGTACACCAGTGGCACTTCACTGCCCCGGGGTGGCAGCCGCCTCTCTGCGTTTCTGTCACGGTGTGACATACAAGCCTCCATTCAAGATGGCTACCCACATGTGGTATGAACACCAAGACTTCTGCAAGCCAACATGGCTTCCTCCTCAGAACAGTGCCCGGGCAATCTTCCTCCCTGTGGCCTTGATCCTGGGAAAAGAGCCCCCTCCTCCTTCACTCGGAGGAGTTCCTGAGGCAGAGGGGCCACTGCTCAGGGCAGCAGCAGAGGCCCTTCGCCGCTGCCGCAGGAGGAAGTCGTGGGACACTCCGTCCATCGCGTAGAAGACGTTGGCCGAGGGCGGGATGGTCAGCTCTGCAGGTTCAGAGGGTGGGGACTGGGTGTCAAACTCAAACAGTCGGCCCCCACCGCCGCCCAGGTGTGGAAGCACTCCTCTGAGTCTGCCTGTCCCTCATGGCCTCTACCTCGCTCCCCTGGTAGCAGCTGCACCAGCTCATACTCCGAAGCCACCGCAGAATCCCGATTGTTTTTCTTAAGGACACGACTGATGACACTTGGAGCCTTGTCCTGGCTTGTCACCTGGATTAGACCAATAAGTCAACCATGGGACCCTCTGCTTCCCATCCTTCCATCCTCAGCCACTGACCCAACCAAAAATGGTTACCTATAACCCAACTTATTTTTTTTTTAAGAGAGATTTTTTGCTATAGGGTGCATGTGTTCACCAAAGACAAGACAGAAAGCAAGAGATCACCCCCTCCCCCAGGGAATGGCCACACCACAGTCCACTCTCCTCTCGAGATCTTGGGCACGCATGCACACGTGTCCAGCATGAGTTCTTTTGTTTTTAAAGATTTATTTATTTATTATCATTATTTTTTCAACTTTGACCAGAGATAGAGACAGAGAGAGCAAGCTGCCAGATCTGGACTTGAACCGTGGTAGGCCATGTGGGAGTCCAGCGCCTTTAACCACTATGCCATCTGCCAGCACCCCCCAGCATGAGTTTTAAGCCACCAGGTCCAGGACTCAAACCATAGTCGACTACATGGGAGTCCAGCAACGTAACCATTACACCATCTGCTGGTTCCACCTGTAACCCAATGCTTTAAACTAAACAGAGAAACCAATATGGTGACTCTTAGTACTTTATAAGCCAGCCCATGTACCTAATAAAAGAGGACTGCTTCCCTGTAGGGAAGTTGCTAATGTCCAGCAAGAGTGGTGTTTTGTTTTGTTTTGTTTTGTTTTTGGGGGGGTTGCCTGTAGAGTGAATGTGCTCATCAGAGAGACAGAGACAGCAACAGAAAGCAAGAAATCACCCCTCAGGGAGGAAGGCCACGCTGCAATCCCTTCTCCTACATTACCCTCTCAGGATTTGGGACATGTACCCAGAGTGACTTTCGAGTTCGAGTTCAGGTCCGGAACTTGAACCATAATCAGCCATTTGGAAGCCCAGCAATGTAACCATTATGCCCTCTGCTGGTTCCCATTCTTAAAATCTAATATGGCCAGCCAGAGTTCAAGGTGCAGGGCTAATGCAAAGTCACCATCAAAATAAAGCCTAACTGCCGAAACCAAAGGTCAGAATTAAAACTAGAATCAGCTCCACCTGGCTGTGCAACCCTCAGAACTTGTAGCCCAACAAGGCACCCTTCACCCGCCCCCAGCCCCGGGCTCCCTCACCAGGATGCTCTTGTAGACACTGCCGTCTGCCCCCAGCTCCATCTGGACTCGGATGATTCGGCAATCAGAGGCCCCTGGCCCAGACCCTCCTCCCCCATATGCAGTCCCCCTGGAGGACCCTTCTGTACCCCCACTCAGCGGGGAGCCACAGGAGGCTGAGCGGCGGTGACCTCGAGAAGTCCTGGGGGAGGAGGCGGGGGGAGAGAGATGGCTGGGGTCAGCCGGGTTGTGCAGGGAGGGGCTGCTCTCCAACGCAGAGTCCAGGGACGAGACAGACGGCCACTTCATGTGCTGGGGACAAACATGGGAGACTAGGGTGAACGGAAGGAGGTGAGGGAAGACATGCTCACTGCGCAGGGTCAGCATCGAGGGTGGAGTCAGGAGCAGCACTCACCTGGGCCAGCCGGGTCAGCAGGGGAGCAGGGGTTCCCGGTGCTTCATCGCCTCCGACGCTGGGCCGGTCCCAGGACACGAGGGGACTGGGGCCACCAACAGAGCCCAGAACGCTGGAGTGGGAGGAATCAGGAAGGTCAGAGGAAGAGCAGCCAGTCCCGAGGAAACCACCCCACCCGCTGATTCTCACTCAGTCCACTGTGTGATGACCAGTGCTGGCCGGAGCACCCGCGGGGCCGGAGGGTCGCTGGTACCAGGCGGCTCCACCTCACAGGATACACGGTGGCTGCGAAGGGGACAGGGGGCAGGAGTTAGCTACAACACCAACCCTCACACCCAGCTGGGGCCCTGGAGTCCCACTGTCACCCAGCCAGTCAGCTCTGGGACTCTGTGAGCGG